CAAAAAATCATCTACATAAAAAAGATTTTGTGTGCTTCAAAAGACTAACCCCCATATTCATAATCAGACCTTATACTTAAGGCTTCCTTAAATTTATCTTCAGATGATTTACGAATTATTTTATTGGCTACTGAGTATCTAAAGATAAATTTAAGGAAGCCTTAAGTATAAGATCTGACTATGAATACGGGGATAAGTCGATTATAATATCGTTCACATTCAAGCTCACAAAAGTCTCTTATAATCTGTCAACATGGTGTAACAATCAACTCGAGATCATCTCGCAAACACAGTGCAACGTTGTTAAGCCTCTTGAGCTCTTGGTTTTCTTACACTTCGCAATCAGTAATTTCATCACAACGACGAAGAGAATTCAGCACTTGGCGAAATAACAAGGCAAGATCTAATTGACACTTTCTCGTCTCAATATAATCGAATACTAAAAGTTATATCCGGATGATTTCTCGTATGATAAAAGACTTTGATTTAAAAAATGCTGCTTTGTAAAAGTTTATCGATGCACAATAGCTACCTATAAATTCCTAATACTGGGCTATATACTCTTGAAAAAAGAGTAGTACAGTGGACAAACGCATAGTATATATGCGTCACACAAAGTAGGTTTCGTACTATAGGGTCAATGCCTTGATACGCGATATTCAATGCGTATCGCAGATATCCAAGTAAGTATAATCGATTAATTTATTAAAACAAAAAAATCTTTAGTAATATATACCTGGCTGACCTGTATAGAAATAACGTCTAAATAATTTGACACCTACTCTAAATTCTTTAGAGTGAGTAGAATCTCACTCTAAAGAGTGAAAATTGAGCTAGTCTTGAAAAAGAGCAGCTATCAATTTTCAATCTTTGAGAGTGAGATTTCACTCTTCGGAGTGAGACTTATTCTAAAAGTTTTAGAAAGTAAGGAAGCAGAAGTTTAATTGCATATGAATTATAGAATTCAGATTTATATTTATTTATAAATATGTTATATCTCTTGGTATTAAAAATCTGTTCACAAAGAAAAAAATAATATGAGCTGCAGCAGTAAATTTGTTCGCACTACTTATAGTTTCATCTCACAAATTTCATATATATATCTCTTATATATCGGTTTTCACATCATATACGATTCACGTCCATCTGTACGTAAAATGCATATCTAATGCGCCTAATGGATAATTCGACACCGGTAACGCGATGTATTAACAATCGACGATGTATGGAATGGAATTTCGCGAGAAATCCATGTTTTCCTCTCAACGATCAGAGAGGCGTTGCATTGAAAGGGTCACACCGAGCCCTGTCGATGAGTAAAAAGTTCGCGCCGTTCTAAGCACGGTAGAGCAACGTACTCGCGACGCGGTCGCGATCCAGGCTATCTCCCGGAAGCACGGTGAGATTAATGTTATGCGACGAGAAAAACGCGCCGCTTCTCGACGAATTGCGACAATGCAATGGGCCGTGGAGACCGTGGTAGCAATTCCCCAGAGCATACGGCTTCGCCAAAAAGCTGCCTTCGCCAGGAAGCGGTGGTAATTTAACGCTTTTTACATCTCGTAAAAAAATTATCATTTTTTTAATTAATAAACAAAGCAAGACGGATTTACGCGATTAAATAGGATAAAATTTAAAGAATAGAAAGAAGATTAATTTACAAGTCATATACTTCAAGTATCCCAAGAAAACATATCGGAACATAAGACATCTTAAATACGCCTGAGATGTCAATGAATAGCATTGAATAATAGTTCAATTCACCGGGGAAATATTCATCTGTAACATTTTCCTTTAAACCAGTAATGTTTCCAGCGTTTTTTTTCCTAAAAAAAACAATTTTTTGCTAAAAAAAAAAAAAAAAACAATTGATCCATAGAAATATCGCATTTATTCCGTTAAAAAAGAGTTGGCACAGTTTTATACACACTTTTTTCTTTGAGAAATATACGCAGTTAACTAACATATGAGGATATCGCGTGAATGAAAAAATTGTTTCTAGTACAGGAATTGTATGACTCTCTTTGGCTCTGGTTTTGTTATTTGTTCTTTGTGTTCCATTCACTCGAATCGACCATGCAAATCTGAAATTGTTCACACTGCAAGATTCTGATCCGCGTTTCTCTGTTTATTGAAAGATACCGTAATATATGTTTTTTGTTTTATAAATATTATAATCACTTTCCCAATTCTGCCAATACAAACAACGTACACAGAAATCGAAAATATATTCTTGTTTTTTAAAACTCGTAAATACGCTTCACAGATATATTATTGAGAATATGATATTTAAGAATTATTATTTCTTTTTGTAGCAGCGTCAAAAATTTGAAACTTAATACAATAAAAGTGTTAATTAAAACTATAGATCAATGAATAAATTAAGTAATAATTATGTAATCTACACAAGATCAATCGCGAAAAATTGCTTAATAAATATCAGCTAGAGTACGAAATCAAATCGCCAGAATTTATAAATGGATTTTACGTTTTTAAATGCAAGTTGTATTTTACATCCAATATTAAAATATAATTTATATATACATATAACATATATAATATAAATTAATCTAAATATAAAACAATTAATGATATTATTATATATATTTTATATACACAAGCTGCGTTTTGATTCTTCAATAACTTTCTAACGTTTTCAAAAGTATTATAGAATGTAATATTATAGGTATATATATGTAGAATTATGAATCATTTGTAAGCTTTAGGTACAAAATTATAAATCTCGTCCCAAGGCCTGTCTTGCATCACGTTCTTAATAAAATAATTAACTTCGCTGATAGATAGATAGATAGATAGATAACCGATATGGCACAATATACACCCACTTTCAAGAACCGACTCATTGGATTCTGCATACTCTGAAAGGCACTTTAATCATATTACTACGATATCGACTTCAAAGTTATTCAAAGTTAAAATGAGCTCGGTTTCCACATTTCATTACACGTGTATGCACTTTCTGAACTTAACGTGCTCAAAACAAAGCAGCGCTGAGCGCGGCTTGTGCAAACCACTCTTGCAGAAATCTAATACTGAATAATTTAATACTAAAAGACACAATAATTAATTGTTTATTTCAAATATTAAAAGCACTATTGTTTAGTGCTTTTTTTAGTATTCTAAATAAGTAATTACTGTTTTTTTAATAATAAATACAGGAAGTAAAATATTATTATAAAAATATTGTTATAAATAGTGTTATAAAACTACTGCATACAAAGATATCGATAAAGATTACGGAAAAACACAATATAAATACTTTAACTGATTTTTAAAAAAATATCCTTTAATTAATAAACTATCATACAATCCACTAAGTTTTAATATTTTAATAATCAAAATATACATTACGCTGTTACTATTAAGAAATGACTCTCTCTTCATTTGCGTGTAATCGCTTTTAATGTGCAGTCTCAGTCCACAGAATAGTGTGGGCAGAGAATGCATAAATGCAGAGAATGTATGCGGATTCATCGCGACAAAAATTTCGAAACAGCGCGTTTTATCGCGCGACGATTTAAACTGACGCGCTTGACAATTCAAAGTGCTTTCCATTCATGCCTTATTTCTACCAATTTAGATTAACTTTAATCTCGATTTAACTTTCTTTTCATCTCGCCTCAATTCTAATGCCCGTTTTTAAATATTAATATAGATTAACTTCTATTTCAGTTTAACTTACTCTTCATCTTTTTCTAATTTTAAAACTAAAAAAATGAAGATGAGAATAAGCCATTTACGGTCAAGCTGGATCTTGGATGCTTCTAATATAATTTCGTGTGAATTTTTATACTACGTATGTAGATCCTTAAATATGCGTCGAAATTTTTTCACTACAATGCAAACTAATAAACTACTGCAGCACTATCACGAGTTAAATTGACTAACAATCTAACAATTTTTCGATGCTCATTTTGCATCTTAGATCTTAATAATATGTTGAATGACATATTAAAATCTATGAATGGCATATTAAAATAATTTAATTATATTATGTAACATATTCGACGCACATTTAAATGGCTTATTCTCATCGGTATTTAGTTTAAAAAACTCTCACGGTCCAAATAAGATTTGATAAAAAAATGAAAAGTTAGTTAACTGAGTTAAAAAATCAACTACATTGATAGAAACGAGTATAAGAATGAAAAAAAGATAAAGAATGAATTAATTAAACTGACAATGAGATAAAAATTAATTTACATTATGCTAGTTTCTATCAATGTAGTTTAATTTTAATTTCTTTCCAACTAACTCTTCATCTTTTCTTAATTTGAACAATTAGAAAAAGATTAAGAATCAATTGAACCGAGATTAAATCAATCGATCTACATTGGTAGAAATAGAAATTAGTAGAATAGCGGACATTAATAACACAAATCAACACAGATCAACACAACATCGTTCTATCTTTCTTAACATATCATGAGTAACAAAGACAGAACAATATTTGTTATATTCAATCGTAATGTCACCAAATGGAAAACACTCATACATATATATATATATATACAATAGTTTCTTTATTTTAAATAATACATTTCATGTAACCGCGGTTGATGTCCTCCCGATACAACAAAGGTTCATTCAACGATCAATCTTCACAATTTTCTTTTCTCCCGGAAAAAATGTATTTTATAACTAATTTATCTCATGTGTTTAAAATCAGTAATCAGTTGAGAACAGTTTCGAATGTCCCTCCCTCTCATGCCTTTCTAAGGTGCACAAATGCCGTTTAACGCCGCTAAAAATGTTAAATGCCACGCATAATTGCGAAGTGAAACATAGGTGACTAGTAGACAGCCTTGATCGTGAGAATTAAGTAGAAAAATTGAAATCAAGAGAAAGAAAATGGATTTGAATCAAGGGAAAATGGCGATGCCGCGAAATAAGTGGAGCAATCGAATTCTTTTATACTTCTTTCCAGAAGTAATGATTTTTTCGCATTTTTATATTTAAATAAACACGCCGTAAAATACCTTTGGTTCCTTACGGAAATGTCATGTTCAACGTCGGCACGAATCCTCGTGAAGCACGAAACTCGCCGGTTCTCCGTCGCCTCCGGCCGAGAAACAGCAAGTGTTTCGTGGAAGAAACAAAAAAAGCGGGAAAATCGTACGATCACATTTTGACGAGGTGCAAACGCGTTTGATCGTTAGGTACGATCGTTTTGACCGGCAAACGTTTCGCACTCGTGTGAGAAGAAACCAGCGTGTATATCACCCGCCCACGCAACCGACGTCGCATCAATCGCGCGTTGCGTACGAATGGTCGCGCCGCTCACTTCGGCTCGGCTCGGCGCAGCCAGGCACGACCACATCGCGGCTCACTTCACCCCGAACACCGCGCGGTCCTCACGTACACATGGTCGCGGCAGCCAATCCGGCGCGCTGACCTACGCACCGGCCGACCAATCGCGGCTTCGCTGTTCCCGCGCCGTCGTGATTCACCCGGCAACGGCGCGTAAACGAAGTTCTCATCGTATCACTGCTCTGCCGTCGTCGATATATACTGTCGACGGAGACTTTGTAGAGTCTTTATTGAATCTTCAATCTTGCGACTTCATCCGTATTTGCTCTTCTCCTTTTTTGTGGCGGTTTTTAACCTTTAATATTATAACGATTTTAATATTATAATTCTTAATTTTAAAACGATGATTTTTTTTCCGGTACTTTACTAAAAACGATAGGTCATTCATCGTGTCCCTGGGTTAATTTTCATTATTTTAACTGCAGATATATAAAAATTATCAAAACATTACATATATTTTAATCATTTTTTGAAAGTATTTATTATAAGATTGTATATTTATAATTTAAAAAAATAATTTATAAATATTATAATTAATTAATTACTTAATGCGTCTAGTTTTCTGGAGGAAAAGATATAAAGAACACAAATGATTCAATCGTATGTACTAAAAAATTTGCTAGATAATGACGAACGGATGATATAATTTACGTAATATCATGATATCGTAACGTAATATCAAATTTATAATATTTCTTCAAAATATTACTGAAATGTTACGATAGTAATAAGTTTCGTCAAACGTTAAATGGCACTGTCACTATCAATAAGAATAAGAGCGCTTATACCGAGGGGGTAACCACTATCTAAAATATTGTCCCACAGATTACATGATTTCATTTAATTTTATATAATTTTATTTGATGACAAATAATTTTTCCTCACTATATATGCGATCATTTGGTAAAATAAACGATTTTACCTAATATTACACAATTATTTCTTGTAATTGTCGGATTATATATCGAAATTTTATATAAATTTTATAATGATTTCAGGGATTCCGTCCCACGATTACATTAAGTGATTACCCCCTCGGCTTAAATACAGTGTAAGAATTATAAAGTAAATATAAATTTAGATATTTAGTAGATACTTTTTAATCGAATGTACGTTGTGAATATGCATGATGAATCATGATGAAAAGATTATAATGTTACACATATAATGACGATACAATAAGACAAGAATTAATTTCAAATTGCAATTGCAAAATAAAAATAGTGCATCATATAAATTACTGTTTTATACAAATTAGCAAATATTTTACTGTAATGACTTTTTAAATTTCTATTAACAATGTCTCGTCAAAGGTATTTCCATTGTCTGTCTACAACAAACTTTGTCAAATTAGGATTTTACAAGATATTATTTTATAAACGTCATAGGAAAGAAATATTATAAATCAATGTTAAACAGTTTTATTTATATTTGTTTGTTCTAATAAAATATGTAGTTAAAGAAAAAGAAGTACAAGGTTTTACACTAGTTTACGACATAGTATATATTTTGTCTCTTTTATGTCTATATATGAAATAAATTCTCGTAAAGAAACCTAAGTCTGAGAGAGGTCAGCGTCACTGGTAGTTAAGTCTTTTCCTCGTTTCACTGACGACGATATTAACCGTGTTATAAGTTGTCTTCATGAAAGCACACCTCTGATGTGACGTTAAAAAATTAATACTGCGTTACAAGGCGTTTAACAGACGTCGCGCCGATTCAACTTGTGTATAACTTGCGTCTGCAGGCGTGTCAAGTAGAACATGACATTCATAACACGATTGCGTATAAATACGGAGTGTGCACCCCAATATAACTCTTTTAATAAAATCTTAATAAAATAAAATTTTATTCTTCCATGACTCGCAATTATTTACAACATTATCATTTAAATATCATCATTAAAATGATATTCCTGAAAACACTTTTTTGAATTAAAAATTGGATAAAAAGTTCTGAAGTATTCTTCATCCGCATAAGTAGCTATATATCTTACTAATGTAATTTACATACATTTAAATTCAAACTAAGGTGTTCATTTACTCTTCCATCATATTACTCATTTTATTATAAAAACTTATCAAATATAATGTTTCCCCCCTCATATATTAAAACTTCAATATATAATTTATTATATAATAATTTATTTTGGAATAGAAATATGTTGTTTTAAAATATGTTTTTCTCTTTTCTTATGTTTACTTTATGTTTCTTTTATTTTTTTTTTCTGTAAACAACATCGAAATTTTAATTTTTTAGTTATGTCCGTTTTTCTTATTGATATTTAATTTAAGAATGCGTTTCGAAATAGAAAGCACTAACGACACAATAATGAAAGTCTTCAATTTACGTTACGTACGCTACTATCAGTTATACACATGTCGAAATGCATCCTAGATTGTCAATAAAACAACAAGAAAATGCGTCTTTAGCTAGACATTTGCAGTGTTATACATTTTCCATTCGAAATGAAATCGATATGCTGCTTATAAACTGGAATGACGTAAAAGGAAAAGAAAAATCACAAAGAAACGCAAAAAGCGCAGCTGAAAAGAAACACGCTTAATATATACATACATAAGTCGCGGGTACGCAGGCAAAAGGAAGAGGGAAAGCGAGCAGAGAAAGTTTCGAGAGATAAAGTAAATCTGTTTTAGCTACGCTTTCTTACACTTTCCTGCATTTTAAATGAAACGTTCGAGCTTTGAGAAAAAAAAGAAAATAAAAATCGTCTCGTTACGAATTCTCTCATTAAAATCTTTTTATTCTCTCTCATTCTTTCTCTCGCTGTCTCTCTCTCTTTCTCTCTTAATGTTTTAATCTTAATTCTTTCAAAAGTATCGCCATTTTTTATAATCTTTATAGTTTAACAATGTAAAAGTAGGAAAACATCACACATATTCTAACACTAAAGATAAATATATATACTATGCAATATGATGATATGCTTTCCATTTCAGCGAGACTCGTTCGAGTTAGCTCAAGTCGATAACTCCAATGCGATAATACGGAAAGCATTTACCATACATAGAAATTGAGGTACACGATATATCCCAAGTGACTTAAAATTAATTTATATTAGCATATAAATTATTTGCGTTGAAATAGAATTTGTTTATGTAAATAATAAAGTAGATATAAATAAGAGGGTATATAAATTAAATTATAATTTTCATCGTATTCTCTAAATATAAGTTTTATAAATTTTTTTAAACAGAGATACAATGTTTTTATTAAATTAAATCATATTCATATACATATAACTTAATTATTACAATTTTCTATAATAGATAAGAAGATTGTTTATTAATTTATCGATAACTAACTAACAAATAAAACAGATACAGCGCTATATATTATAAATGATGACGATAATGACGTAACGTAATAATATTCTGCAGATTTGGTTTTCTCTTTGATTTATATCTCCCCTTCCCTTTATCTTTCAATCCATTGCCGCGCACTCCGCAGCAGAATTAGTCAGGGTCGACTTGAGTCATCGACAAACAATGACGCAGATCAAATAGAAAACAGAAACTAAAATTAGGACTTTGCATTATCAAATGACAAGCTAAAAATGACTTATTTCAATGTGAAAAACATCAGCTATATTTAATTTCGAATTTATGAAAAATTAAACAGGGTAAAATCTTTATAATCAAATTATTACTTAAGGACTATTTTTGTTTTAATAATTCTGTTGAATTTTAAATCTTCTTGAAGTTTAAACATTTTTTTTGGGCAATCTTTAATATCAAATAATAATACCATATTGCGCGCATTTATTATAATAATTAGTATAAAACTATATAAATTTATTTATATATGTATAACTAGCTGTGCCTATTTTGTTCCGTAAACATGCTTGCTAAAAACTACTATATTTAACCAGCTTTTAAAGAAAAAAATTAATAAATAGATGAAAAAAATTAAGAAGACGAAAATGCGAAAAAAGAAAGAATAAAAAAGAAGCTGAAAGAAAGGACTGATGAAGGAAATAAAGATAATGAAGAGGAAGAAAAAGAAGAATACGGATAACGTATTCTTTAATTAGAATACAATGTTTGCATTCTTCTTTTTTTTCTTGGCCTTTTTATTTTCATTTTCCTCTTCTCTTTATTTTTGTCATTTTTATTATTTATTATTTTTTAATTTTTTGTTATTTCCTATTTATTAATCTTTTTATTCGTCTCTTTTACCTTCATCTGTATTATAATTAGTAAAATATACTTCTTCGATTTTTTAAACGTCATAACGTCAATAATAATAATTAAAAATCCGATCAAAGGAAAAAATAAAAACGAGTTTGGCTTCTTTTCTTCAACGTGGAGAAAGAAAAGAAAAGGAGATAAACCGTGTAAGAAGTTCAATTAAAGAGAACAAGCTTTTCTTCAAACGTGCCGCACGCGCCTCCGCGATAACAGAAATCAACTACCTACACTCTTCTGCACTTTCCAGACTTGGAATTCGCGATACTTGCTCATGCGGACTTCAATAGAAAATAAAGAGAGGCAGCGGAAAAGGAGGGACAAAGTGTAAACAGGCGCGAGTGGACTTTTGAACGAACGCATCGTCGCAATCCGTGTCACGCGTGTTCGCCGTCTCGGCGCCGACGGAGATTCGTGCGCAGTAGCACAGCACACGCGCGATCAAGTTAGAGTGAGTAGTCAAGTAGCTGCGGTCAGCTGCGGTCTCGCGAGACGAACAGAGACGAAGTTGTTCCGAGGAAGCCTCGGCTCGGGTATCAGCGGCGCTCGCAGCGGTGGTCGGGTAGTCGCCGCGTCGAATGCCCCGAATTCCAATGATTGA